ATTTCTGGAAAATCTTTTTGCACCTTGTGTAGCGCCTTTGTGTCCTTTTTTTATAATTTGGAGACCAGAACTGTACAGAGTACTCCAAGCATGGTATAATTAAGACAATTGGCATCATGCTATGATAAAAAGTATGAGTTTGTCCCCAAACTCCTTGCAGCAAGCCATTTTGACTTCCTGTGCTCTGTCTTCTTCATCAGCTCTGGTATAAATCTACCCCTAAAGGTTATGCCAACATCATTAAGTACAGATCTGTTATGGCACAGAGGGAAGCCATTCTGTCTGCACCAGCTCTCCAAATAAGAATTGTGACTCAATGCCATTCTCCTGCCTTTTCCCTATATCTTTGGATACTGTTTCTATTTAACGAATCATCCAGTGTCCTCTCGAATGCTTCAGTTAAGCTTGCTTCCACCAAACTTCCAGACAGTCTTTTCTGGACCTGACCCACTCAATGAATGAACAAGTTTTTTTCTCACATCAAATTTGCTTCCTTTGCAAATCATTTTATATCTCCTGTTGTTCTTAATCCTTTTATGAATGGGAACCATTTCTCTCTGCCCTGTCTCTCCAGCCTCCTTGTGATTTTTGAAGACTTCTATCAGCGCTCTGTTTTGCTACCTTCTCTCCAAGGAAAACAGTCCCAGCCTTTTCAATTGATCCTCATAACTGAACTTTCTCATTCCTGGAACCATTCTTGTAAATTTCTTCAGCACTCTCTCCAGTATGTTCCCCATCCTTCCAATAGTGTGGGACCCAGAACTTCACACAATACCCCAGCTAAACAATAATAAATTAAGAATTTTTGTTTTGGCTTTGCCAGAGAGAGATTAAGACAATGTAGCTGTTTTCCCTGGCTGACAAACCTAGAACAAGAGGACACTGTTTCAGGACAAGGGGCCCATTTATTTAGGACTGAGATGAGGAGAGAGTTCTTTATTCAAAGGCTTGTGAAACTTTGGAATTCTGTGCCTCAGATAATGATAGATGTGCCATCATTGAATTTATTTAAGGCTGTGATAGACAGATCTTTGGAATGTCAGGGAAGCGAAGGACAGTGAGAGTGGAATTGAAGTCTACAATCATCCATAATCTATTAGATGTTAAAATTGGCTCAGCAGGCTGTAGGTCTACTCCTGTTTTTATTTCTTATTTTCTTGTGAAGAAAAGTTAGAGACAAAGGGACCATATTTATAATAAAATGTCCTCCTTATTATGATTACTGGTGAAATCTTGGCTTCTGAGTCTGTGAATCTTTCTCTCCTCATTTGTTGAATTTCTGGTCTTTCTCCTTTCCAGTTAGTTATTTTCAACTTCTGCTGCTGGCCAATTTCAATTCCTCCCCAGTCAGATTTGATCCCTGTTCCCTTTCCCTGACTTGAGTTTCAGTCTCACATTTGATGTGCAACCTTTGTACACTCTCAATAATTAATATTGTATCTAGAGGCTCAGTTTGTGGTTCCTATTGTAAACAAAGAACCCACACATATTCATCATGTCTGATAGAATCTGCTCCACGTCTCATGTGCAGCTTCATGGCTTGGGCTCCACTAAATGTAGAAAGGAAAAGAGGGAGACTCTGAGTGGAGAAAGCATGGGAGGGAGAAAGAGTGAGAGAGATGCTCACAGAGCCCAATCAAAGAAGAGGCAAAGTGAGAAACAAACATATTTGAGGCTGAAATACTATTCACAAGGAGTGGAAAGAAAAGAAGGTTGTTGTTGAGTGACTGTTCAGATGAACCCTGGAATACTCTGGGGTGCAATGTAAGCCCATTGATACTGCAAGAGGGAGTGAGTAGAAAGAGACACGCTCAGTTGAGTATAGGTAGCAGGAGAGTTAGGAAAATACATTAGTGTGGGTTCCCCTTCTATGTAGGCGCACTGAAGGATGTATTACTGTTCTACAGGTTGAATTCCCGACCCTTGCTGAGTTGGCTGATTTTTTTTTTTTAACACAAGAAATCAGCTTGAGTAAATTCTTACCTTTTTGCCATTAATCTGAAATATCTCCAGTTTCAATATATCTTTGGTTGTATTTTATACCTGTGTGGTTCTTGACATGAAGGAAGTTTGAACTGTACTGTCTTGGGTGTGCTTGTTTGGATGGTAATTTAATACGATGGGCATATTAAGAGCCATTATTCAGAGGTGTACTGTAAATACTTTATTCCCATATTGTAATGATTATGTTATGAACAGGTTTCTGATCTGGATCAAGTGCTAAGTTGTGATCAATCAATGGACGAGTTGGAAGGAGTGAATGAGCTGGACCAGCTTTTCCCTGAATATCAGAATGACTTTGGAAAACAAACCAACGTAGTTCAGGTATTATCTATAGTAGAACTTTTGCTCTGTAAGATCGCAGCCCTTGATTCTATAAAGCTCACTGGAAGTAGCATTCAAGTCCTCAAACAGAAATCTAGAGTACTAGCACGATAAGATGACAGCAGAAATTCATCTTACGATAAAAAGTCTTTGAACATGTTCTTGGATTTTTGGGAAGTTACAATTTTTGGGCAGCATGGTGGATCGGAGGTTAGCACTGCTACTTCGGAGTGCCAGGGACCTGGGTTCAATTCCAGCCTTGGGTGGCTGTCTGTGTGGCGTTTGCATGTTCTGCCCATGTCTGCGTGGGTTTCCTTCGGGTGCTCTGGTTTCCTCCCATAGTCCAAAGATGTGCAGGTTAGGTGGATTGAACATGCTAAATTGCCTGTAGTGTCCAGAGATGTGCAAGCTAGGTGGATTAGCCATGCGAAATACAAGGTTACAGGGATAGATCTGGATGGGATGCACTTTAGAGTGTTGTTGTGGTCTTGATGGACCGAATGGCCTTCTTCCGCACTCGAGGAATTCGATGATTCTACATATAGAACAATGGACAGCTGGGCGTAAGTCGCAAACTGTAAATCTCATTGAGAGTTAGACTGTGTTTTCATATAGTTGTTGAAGATAAGCTTACAAACTTGACGTAACTGTACAATATGTTTGTTCTGACACTTAATTCCCATATTCAGCTGTTAGATGTTTTACATGACTAGCTATTTTTACTGTCCAGACAGTGGAACTAGACAATGCATCTTGGATGGGAGCAGAGGTTTATTTTAAAACTAATCAATGAAACAAAGGTTCAAATCATAGAATCCTCACAGTGTGGAAACAGGCCCTTCGGCCCTACAAGTCCACACCGACCCTTGGAGCATCCCACCCAGACCCATCCCTCGATAAGCCACCTAATCTACACATCCCTGAAAACTACGGGCAATTTAGCATGGCCAATCTGTCTAACCTGCACATCTTTGGACTGTGGGAGGAAACCCACGCAGACACGGGGAGAACATGCAAACTCCACACAGACAGTCGCCCAAGGCTGGAATCGAACCCGGGTCCCTGGCACTGTGAGGCTGCAGTGCTAACCACTGAGCCACTTTGCCACCCATGGTCATGATGTTTTTTTCCACGGCGGAGTTTCATGCCCTGCCACCCGATGAGATGGAAAGGAATACATCCCTGTTGATACAGGCTGCCCCCACAGCCAATTAACGCTGAGTGAAACCTTATTTTGGTAAGAGTGAAACTTTTGGCCCAATTTTGGGGTGGAGGTGAACTTGTTTGAGAGACCACAGTGATGGAGGGTGTTAGGGGGGTGGGGTGGGGGGTGGGGTGAGGATTAGAGGGAGCTGGCGTACGGCCTCATTGGGAGGTGGCAAAGGAGCCTCCGATGAATGCCAGCGATTCTAAGCAGGTCCCTCCGGTCTCTTGTTTGACATTAGCCTGCACAGCTAGTACTGCTGAGCTACCCACTTGGTTATGATCCTGTCCTGATGTGGGTAAGATAACAAGCAGGCATGGATTTGAGGCTGTTGCGTGGTACTTAATTAAGGACCTAAACGAGCCCAAGGGAGGACTGGCTGCTGGACACTTCCACCGCTTCACCCCCAAAAAAATAGGAATAAGGTCAGGGGGTGGGTGGGAAAGTAGCAGCCATTTAATGAGACATTCTCACTCCCTGCCTTCATACCCACGAGCAGAGAAGTGTAAAATTCCAGCTAATATTTCATTGAGGATGTGGTTAATCTACAGTATCAGGGTCTTTGGACTTCTAATTCCAAAAGCGCGCTCTGTTGGGGTTCTCTATTTGTCATATCTGGGTCCCTTGCAGGCAAATTGATGGAGTTTGATTGTAAAGAGTCAATAGCCTCTATTATTCTTGTGTCCTGCGACTACCAAGATGGCCAAAGACCTTTTATCATTTAGCAATAAGGTCAACAATCGGACATTCCCTATGTGGAAGTTGCTTAGATGGCTGTATCCTGTGATCATTGGGAGACTAATTACTGTTCCTTTTGAAAAAATTTTTCCATTAATAGTTGTAAACATCAAAGAAAACTAATCGCAATTTGTCATAATGCATGACATCTGAAAAATGATAGATTTGTCTGAAAATGTTTACACATATACCGCAAATATACTGCATTCAGTCTTGAGTATTCTTTTTGCAGCAGTAAAGCACTAGCGAATGGCTTGCTCTGTTTTATTGAAGTTTACCGTCATTAATCCTTCAGATTTCTGATCCTCAGTTTACACTCAAATGGCTTGAGAATGAGAAATCTGACATAAATGTTCAAAAATAGTTTTGCAGAACAACCCATAACAGCCTCAAGTTAGTGTGTTGCTGTGTCAAGACACTGAGCTCAAAATTTCATAAATATGTAACAAGTAAATCAGTTAATTAATTGAAAAGATGATAAGATCAGAATGCACTATAATCAGTGTTCTTTTTTCCCTTTTCTTAACAAATCCTACCTTTGGTTTAGCCAATTGGACAGATGTTCAATCTAGCTGAATACCATCAGCTGCACCTGGGCAGTGAGCGAATCAGAGTTCCTGAGATTCTATTTCAACCATCGTTGATTGGCGAAGAGCAGGCTGGTATTGCAGAAACCCTGCAATATGTCCTGGACAGGTATGTCCTTAGGAGTTATTCAGCAGCTTGCTTACATTTGGTAACTAATCTGTTAAAATCTTCCCCTCTTCACTGTCAATCCTGCGTAAGTTATCTGTGTATTTATGGTAAATACCAGAAACTGCACTCCCCTCGTTTGCGATGCTTCGGTCACATTCTTTCCAATAATTTTGTGTTGAATGATGTGTTATGATAAGACCAGCAGCACAGCTCATGATTACGTTGATGACTGTTCCCAAGAAGTAATGGGATGTGGGTTCACAGCACACATTACCCACATCGTCCAGTTCAAGGGAAACGGTTGCCCTCACTCTATTGAAATCCTACAACATTTTGTTTAAACCCATTCTATTTTTGATCCTTAGAATATATCACCACCAACTTTTTCCCTCCTTCCTATAGTTTCACAACCTTTTATTTAAAAGTCCAATGCACGTCTGCCAGAATGGAGATGTACTTAATTTTAAAATGTCTTCACTTGAAAAGGTAATAATGTCATTTAAGTCGAGAACAAACAGTCCTGAATGGCATATGTACTTTTGTCGCCTGGCAACTTTACACAATGTTACTAGCATGCTGATGCCTGGGACCTGTGGTGGATTTCCCCTGGAATGAAGACACAAGGGATAGAGAGCCAACAGCTATGCTCAGGATCCGTGGTTGCTGCAGACAGAATGCCCACCAGAGTTCCATTTTGCAGGGCAATGCAGGCTGCAGATAACTTACACAGCTTTGAGAGTGGAAGGTGGGGGATCCAGAGGAGATGGGAATAGGGGGTTGCTGTTCCCAATGTCCAGTCCTTCATTCAGGCACAGATGCCTTTGGTCCAGGGACATCTGCTCCCCGGAGATGATGGCCTGGTCACACGGTTTTAGCTGCCGTGCCCAGCACACAACGATAAACCCAGCTGCTGCGAGATCATTCCAATGGCAGCAGGCCCTTGAGTGGTCATGATTGGGCCATTTAGGGGCCTCAGTTGGCAGCGAGGCTGGAGGGTAGACTGTGGGCCTTCCTGCCCAGGACTTAATTCCAGTTGAGAGAGGAAGGCAGCCAAGGTTCAGGTTCCAATCTGCCCAGTTAATTGTAATTCTAACCTCCAAGCTCGCTACCAATGAGGGCAGGATGCTTCGTCTCTTGTGTTTCCCCTGTATATTTAGACAATCGTGGCTTGTATATGCCAAAACAGTGGGTCATTTCTGCTCTAGATTGAACAGAGCCTGGCAAGTTGACTTTTCACAGTACAGGAACTGCACTGGAGACTTGCATCAGGTATTGATGGCCCTAGACGAGGGTGAAACTGCAGTGTAAGGAGATTGAAACCATAGTTAATGGGCTGCCAATGCAATACTGGATTCCATCTCATTCTTTGTAGCTGATTCACATCCCACTGCTTTCATCAGGCTGAAGAAGAGTTGAGAAAGATATAGAAACCAGCTAACTTTCTCTTATTAACACATTAAAGAATAAGTTTGTTTTGATTCTGTAGATATCCTAAGGAGCAGCAGGATGAACTTGTACAAAATGTATTCCTCACTGGCGGCAATGTCCTATATCCTGGGATGAAGACCCGGATGGAGAGGGAGCTACTTGCCATGAGACCATTTCGATCCTCTTTCCAGGTGCTCTGGATTCAAAGTGATGTTTGTGTGGGCTGTAGTGAGCAACAGTAATGACAAATGTGGAAAAGGAGATGACTTCTATTTAGTCAGTGTTCATTTCCGAATGTGAAAAAGGCAGAAGATGCATAATTTTCAAAAAAATACACCCGTCCTTCGTATCATTTATGAATAGTGCCTAAGCATGGGATACAAAACAGCTCTCTCACTCGTATCATTTTCATTTTCTTTGTGCTACCTCCTGTTTCCTACTGCTATGGTGGTTTTCATTTGAGATAACCAATTTGACATTAATTCATTGACCATTCAATTTCAAAAGATTCATATATGGTGAGAGGCAGAGGTTTATGAGAGAGAAATTTTTTTATGCAATAAGCCACAATAACGAGGAACTCTGCTTATGAGGATGCTGGAAGTGGAGATGATTGGATCAGCAATTAAGGGACATAAACATGCAGAGTTACAGGTAAAGAGCAGGGGACTGGCACAGAGTGGATTCCACTACAGAGAACTGGCACGGTCTTGATGGGCAAAATCGTCTCGTAATTTCAAGCATTCTGAGTTGATTCTGCCCTTTGGCTAATTGGTGGAGTGGGGAGGACCTACAACGAATCAGAGAACACAACTAAGGTAAAGGTAAAGTCGCCATATTTCAACCATAGAGAGAATTAGGGAAGAGAGATGATTGGTAGATATTTAACCTGAGGGGTCCACACACCTCATGCCAAGGAAAAGGTTGTAAAGGAGAGTCCTTCATGGTTACCTCAACCAGGGTAGGAATTGAACCCACGCTGTTGGTGTCAGCCTGCATCGCAAACCAGTTATCCAGCCAACTGAGCTAACAACAACCCACTGGATAGGGACAAATAATAAGACATATTTGTTTTTCAGCTTGCCTGTATTGGATAAATAAAAGCAAACTTAATCTTTGATTAACTTGGATTCTTAGGGACCCAAAATACATTATAGGAGAATTAATCCACACCTTTTACAGATGTCTACAGATTTGACAATTTTAATGGGTTTTCTATAACTCACATGAGCCTGAAAACCCATGATGGAATAATAGATAATAAACATATGAATAATCTTGCACATAGAAACGTAATCTGTGACGTGGTCATGGGGTTACATGATTTCACCTGAAGTTCATTCTATATCAAAGGTCTGCAGGATGGACGGAAAACTTTTCAACCTCAATCAGCTGAAATCCAAGAAGAGAACAACATGGACCTCACTTGTGGAACTTCATTATGTGGATGACAATGTCATCTCTGCTGTCTCGGAAGAGAATCTCCGAGCCTCACTTAATGCCTTCATGGCAGCATCCTGAAGCCTCAAGAAGAAACAAATCCTTTACCCACTCATCCCTCCATTATGATCAATGGAGAAATCCTTCCAAACGTGGAATATTTCCTTGACCTGGGAGCTACCTGTTCTTTGAGGCTGACGTTGATGCAGATTTTCAACATCGCATACAACCTGTGAGTGATGCCTTTGGACGCGAAAGGATGAGAGTCTTTGAAAACTGTGACATCAGTGCTGAGACCAAGATCCTTGCATTTAAGGTAGTCATTCTTCCAACTCTTTAACCTGGACCACATATAGACGCCACCTCAAGACTGCTGAGAAGCACTGTTTGAGACAGATTCTCCACATCAGCTGAAGGACAGGTGTACTAACATTCGTGTCCTTGAAGCATCTAATAGTACTAGCTTCAAGGCCACAATCATCCAAAACCAGCTCTGCTGGGTCGGCTATGTGCTTAAGATCCCTGAGTTCCGACTGCCAAAGCAAATCACCTTCACCCAGCTCAAGGAAAGCACTCTAAGGAGAGGAAGATAAAGAATTGTTTCAAAGACTCCCTGAAGGCTTCTTTCAAGAAATGCAATGTAGATATTAACACATCGGGCATGCTCATTCAAAAGGAACCAATTGGAGGAAATGTCTGTATGATGGGACACAATTCTTTGAGAACATCAGTTGGCATAAGGAAGTATGAAAAAAGAACGGAGAAAGGAATGCTAATGATCTCAAGGCTGAGAATGACTTCCATATTCTGGAAACACGTGACAAATGTATAGTCAGACGTGGCTGTAGGATTGGGCTTTCAGCCATGTAAGGACCTACGGAGTCCATGACCAGTAACACGGAATTTCCTAGGTGGATAATCGTGCTCGTTTGCAAGTGATTGCTAATGATGATTTAATCTAAGTTATTCATTGATATTTGGAATTTTAACAGAAGTGGAAGCCATCCTATGTGTATTGGTTTTAGCCCTTTATTAGAGCTAATACTGGACTGTTCTTTGTCCCTATACCCTTTCAAAAACATTTAAGAAAAGACCAACTTACTTTAGTATTGCATCTCATCATGTCTTAAAGATATCCCAAATATTTTGCAGGTCAATTGATTAATTTTTGAGGTGCAGTCACTGTTATGGAGGCAAAATTAGCAACCAATTTGTCTGCAGAAGGGTGCTATAAGAAGCTGGTGGGACAAATGACCAGTTAAACTGATGTTGATGATACTGACTGAGGGAGAAATATTGGTCCAGCTGCTGGGAAAACTTGCTGTTGTTGTTTGAAGAAGTAAATTAGACTGTATATTTGAAGAGAAATTATTGGATCACAATTCTATGAGTAACTCTTCACTCTGTGAATAGCACTCCACAGAGTGAAATTCATTGTCATCAAACACCTCCTGTTTCTCAGGTTAAGCAACTGTTAATCATGACAGTTTGTACAGCAGAGTTTGATAAATACCTCCTAATTTTAAGACTACTTTTTTTTGAAAAAAGGAAATAGTGTAAATTAGGCGCACTAATCATTCCAGCTATTGATGTGAACCTTGAACCTGGTTTCTAAATATTGCTCATTTTTTACAGCAGTCTCAATATAGACTGTCTTCCTCGCTGTGACATTAGATAACCCATGCAGTAAAACTTCCCTCAGCATTAATATTTTCTGTAGCTTGGCAAATGTATCTTTGTTTATAGAAAAGTTCTGCTGCTCTATTTTGATTGAAGTTTAGCAGGGTGAGCCGTGGGTTGCCTGAGAACTATCAGCTTAATTGTGTTCAGTTCTGGTCACCTCATTATAGGAAAGATGTGGAAGCTTTAGAGAGGGTGCAGAGGAGATTTACCAGGATGCTGCCTGGACTGGAGGGCAGGTCTTATGAGGAAAGGTTGAGGGAGCTAGGGCTTTTTTCATTGGAACAAAGAAGGATGAGAGTTGACTTGATAGAGGTTTACAAGGTGATGAGAGGCATAGAGTGGATAGTCAGAGACTGTTTCCCAGGGCGGAAATGACTATTACGAGGGGGCATAATTTTAAGGTGATTGGAGGAAGGTATAGGGGAGATGTCAGAGGTAGGTTCTTCACACGGAGCGTGGTGGACATGGGGAATGTGCTGCCGGCAGTGGTAGTGGGGTCAGATACTTTAGAGACTTTTAAGCGACTCTTGGATATGCACATGGAGGATAGTAAAATGTAGGGTATGCAGGGTAGATTGATCTTAGTAGGATAATAGGTTGGCACAACATCGTGGGCCAAAGGGCCTGTACTGTTCTATGTTCTATGTTCATACATAAGGCATAGACCATTCAGTTCATCAAGTCTGCTCTGCCATTCATTGAGATCATGGTTGAACTGATCATCATCTTTAACTCCACTTTCCTGCCTTTTCACAATAATCCTTGATGCCCTTACTGATTAAAAATCTGTCTATCTCAACCTTAAACACACTTAATGACCCAGCCCAGTGACTGTTGTGGGGGAGAAAATGCAGTTAGGAGTAGACAATCATTTGGTTGTATTTCTGTCCTTGGTCATTAATTGTCACCCACTGTGCTTCGTCAATTCTTTCATTATAGAAATGGGGGGTATGTAGAGTTCAACAAAGGAAGACAGTTCTCTTTTGTGAAGTTTCCTACCTGTTTTCATCAGCATAAACAATAGTCTTAGAGAGCTACACTAATGTCTGTATAGCTGAGTACAAGAAAATATATAGGAGCAATTCAGATTAGTAGATACCTCTTCCACGCTATTGGAAACCCGTTTGTTTCCATTCATTGATAGTGGGAACTGCCGATGCTGGAGAAACACAGATGAACACAGCAGGCCAAGCAGCATCAGAGGAGCAGGAAAGCTGACGTTTTGGGTCTGGACGTTTCAGGTCTGGACCCTTCTTCAGAAGATTTTCTGAAGAAGGGTCCAGACCTGAAACGTCAGCTTTCCTGCTCCTCTGATGCTGCTTGGCCTGCAAAGTTCATCCAGTTCTACACCTTGTTATCTCTGTTTCCATTCATTGTTTTTCTACTGTGAAGTAGGAGGTTTCTTCACTAGAAATGCGGATCTGAAGCTCTACCTTTATCTTCTGAGGAATTACGCATTAACTTCTGAAGCGTGGTGTAACGTTGCTGATTCACAGTTTCCAGTTGTTGAGAACAGGGTGCATTTTTGTGCTAATCAAGCTGGGGGATTTTAGTACTCGGGAATGGAAAACTTTTACAATAATTGTACTCAGTCTCTGCATCTACCAGTCCTAGGTGTCATCGAGATTGTCAAGTTGTTACCAATTAAGAGCCACAACTAGAAGCTGGATTAAGACAATCCTAGATTCCTTTCTTAAAACCCTTTCAGTAAGCATGAGATAGAGGCTTTTGCATATTTATGGGCAGTTTTAGAACGCAAGTCTTGAACGGAAAATAGATTATATCAAACACTTGGGTATTCAAGTTCAGTTTTATCCTTGAGAACCACATCAAAGAGCTAACACAATGTCAGCATTAATTAGTACTGGAGTATTGGAGGAAATTGGGCAACCTTACAGAAGTTTATAAAATCCTTGAGGGGCATGGACAGGGTGAATAGTCAAGGTCTTTTCCCCAGGGTAGGGGAATTCAAAACAAGAGGGCATAGCTTTAAAGTGAGAGGGGAAAAATTTAAAAGGGATCTAAGGGGCAACGTTTTCACACAGTGTATGGAATGAACTGCCAGAGGAAGTGGTGGAGGCTGGTGCAATTACAACACTTAAAAGGCATCTGGATGGGTATGTGAATAGGAAGGGTTTAGAGGGATATGGGCCAAATGCTGGCAAGTGAGATTAAGTTAACGTAGAATATCTGGTCTGCATGGACGAGTCGGGCCGAAGGGTCTGTTTTGTGCAGTATGTCTCTTTGACTTTATTTATAAAGTTACTTACTCCTTTGAGACAATTACCGATCAGAAATGTCTTTCTCCTCATGTCTTTCAGATAACGATGGCTGCCGATCCTGTTCTGGACAGCTGGTTAGGTGCACGGGATTGGGCTGTTGAGTATAAGGATCAAACTGAGGGCTGGATAACTTTGGCTGACTATGAAGAGAAGGGAGGAGAGTACTTAAGTGAACACGTTGCTTCCAATGTTTACGTGCCAATGAGCCTTACGAAACCAACTTAAGAGTGCTGATATGTGAATGGATTCCAGGATATGTTTAGCTCATGACATTTCTTTTGTCATAAAAAAAGCCTTTATTGATCAAAGGATTGAAACTTTTAAGTACATTGGAGACTGTACAAAATAAATACTTTTTGTAACAATGCTGTTCTCCTCTTGCATTTTATACTGTTCAGGTATATGAGATATTCTGGGATTCAGGATTCAGTGCTACATCTTAGACTGGCTAAGAGGAGACTGAGAAAAATTATACACCTGCTTGTTTTTAACCACATTTCATGGATTGGAATGAATCACCATTGCTGTTTGTTGCAACAAGCGCCGAGAACAGATGAAATTCATCTCGATGAATCCGATCGTGTTTACTCAATGACCATTCCTGGCGCTGAAACCAGAGATCTTCTTTCTATCTGTCCCTGGTCTTGTGATTCATAAGCTGTCATTCACAAATGTTAAATGGCAATGAAAGTTGAGATTTTGTTCAGTATCTGCACAATGTTTTTTGGACATGTTCTGAAGGTTCATGCTAGGTGTACTAAGATCACAGGATATTCAAAAATGGAGAAAATTAAGCTTCATATCCAAATTTCAAGTGCCATGTTTCAAATGCTTTATTATTATTTTATTTTATTATTATTATTATTATTTTAGATTCATCTCTTATTTTGACTATTATCATTTATTGCAGTGAACCCTGTGTAAGATGCAGAATACAGAAATTCTTTGCAGAGTTTTTAATATTGCAATCAGGCCAAATATTATGTTTAATTTGATTTATATTTTTGTTTCATTAATGCATTTAAATGGGATTTTTGAAAAGCTTTATTTTTACTTCTCAAGGCCACTGACTTTCTTTGGGCTACATTTTGTGCAACCTGTTGATAGAATTGTTTCTTGGTTTGCAAGTAGCAGTGCTTCATTCAGAAGTCTAGACAGCCAAAGATTTTCAGGGTAATCCAGGTTTGAATCACTAGTGTCTAATGTAGCACAGTGTTCCCATTACTGATGCCAGAGAGACTTTAGAAAAGTTAAACGTTAGATGAGTGGAGGATGAGCTTTTTTTGAGAAAGGCTGGTGAAAGTCCATTTTAATGGGCTGAGGAATGGTAAATAAGCAACATTTGTGTTTAGCGCATGTTTTTTTTCCCTCCAGTGTATCAAAGAATCAAGACTGAGCTAAAAGAAAGTTGCATTTCCCTAGCACCTTCCACACCCTTGAGTCATCCCAAAGTGCAGCACAGCCAATGAAGTATGTTGGAAACATAATAGCTGTTGTAATGTAAGAAACATAGCAGCCAATTTGAGCACAGCAAGATTCAGTGAGCACCAATATGATGACAATCAGTTAACCCATTTTAGTTAAGTTGATTAATCAGGATCTTGACTAGGACACTATGGGATAATTCTCCTTTCTGTCAAATTAATGCCAGGAGATCTTTTATGTTGATCGGAGTGCGCAGATGGGAGCTTGTTTTATTGTCTCATCCCTCGGTACTGCATTGGGAGTGTCAGACCTGGATTATGTATTTTCTCTGGAGTGGGTCCTGAACCCCACAACCTTTTTATTTCAGAGGTGAAAACGCTTAGCAATTGAACCATTGCGTAATTTATCTGTTGCCACATCAAACCCATTCCTTCAAAAATGACAGATGAAAAGGATTTAAAATGATCATGAAAGAAATAGGAACAAAAGAAACATATGGTAGATTAATTTCCAACGCCCCCCCCCCAACTCCCCAGGGGAAAAGCCTTGAACAATGTGATTTTTATAATGTGTTAGAATTATTGGAAATCTTAAAGGCTTAATACATCTGGGGCCCTCGCTCTGTTGTAACAAACCCATCAAATAAATTAAAATCTTTGGCTAAAAAGTGAAGTAAGAGAACAAGGATGGCCATTGGGAGTGGAAGTTGTTAATTTTCTCAGCTTGTGCCTCTGCTGCTGGCTGAAGTTATTCAAAAGCTCATCTTCAAAGGATTCAGAAAGCACGGTGTACTACTGAGACTACAGGCAGTATGAATACATCTGAAAATAGTATGGGAAGTTCTCCAATTCTTCACAAACACTGTTGTGGATTAGATTAAATGGAGTGTAATGCATGGATTTTATGTTAAATTGTCACATTGCTGTTGGATATTTTAGTCTCATGGACAAAGTGTATTTCTTGATTTGCTGCAAAGGATAGAACACTGTTCTTAATACATTTATATATATGCGTGTTAGGCATCATTCTTCTGCACATTTGGTTTGGGCATCATGGCATGTGTATCTGGGCACAAATAATGCAGGAAATTACAGGCCAGCATCTATCTAGCTTCATTATTTCAGCCCTTCCATTGCCCTCTCCTCCTGATTTGAGCAAAGTCAGCTGAGATAGCCAAGAGAGATGGGAGGTTCTGAGGATTCACACACAGGCTGGTCACAATGAACAGACCCTGCTTTTCATCAAATCACTAGCGTTTTTTTTAAACGGTATTCCATGGAATTTTAAGAACTATATGTTTACAATAAGATTGAGTATAGTGATGCATTGCTCACCTTGGTTAAGGTTAGAAGTCACACAACACCAGGTTATAGTCCAACAGGTTTATTTGAAAACACAAGCTTAGGAGCCTCATTCTTTCCTTCAGGTGTAAGTAAAAGATCAAACGGTCACACCACTGATGAGGATGTACTGAACAAACCCGAGATAGAGTTAAACCTTTAATCAGTAGAAGGTTTTAACTGATTAATACATATATGTAAATCTTCAAATTCCTTTCAAGTGACTGTCCTGAGAGAACTAAAGGTTTTATCAGTGTAAAGAAGACACACACATGTTCATCTATGGGGTGAATCTGTATTTGCAGATACATTCTATTTTGTTCAAAAAGCACATAATTTTATGGACAGTCAGTCAATGTGGCATTTTATAAATTCCTACTTCAGAAATAAAACCAGTCTGACTCCAAACCAAAATACAAACAGATTCTAAACAAGGCCTCACACCTAACATGCATTGTCTGACCTAAAATGTCACCTCTTCTGTACACTGATAAAACCTTTAGTTCTCTCAGGTCAGTGACTTGAAAGGATTTTGGGGATTTACATATACATATTAATCAATTAAAACCATCTAACTGATTAAAGATTTAACAGCATCTTAGGTTTGTTTAATACATCCTCATCATGTGACCCTTTGATCTTTTACTTATAAATTCTCTGTCTGATACTATCTTTCACTAACACCTTAAGAAGGAGTGAGGCTCTGAAAGCTTGTGTTGGACTCTACCCTGGTGTCATGTGATTTCTGACCTCGTCCACCCCAGTCCAACACTGGCACCTCCGCAGCACACCTGGGTTACATTTCAAATTACTGATTAGAGCAAAATTACTACGATGTTCATTCTGACCATGTAAATAACATTCTTTTAACGGCCTTGCCATACACAGCAAGCTCTTTTGCTTTTTCTTTTCAGGTGAGACAGCTGATTACGTGTTACTTTTCATTGATTTGTGATAGGAAATATAAAGTGGTCAACATTCAAACATATGATGAAAATAATTCAAGCTTTATCTATTTTATAACAAGATCAGGGAGGCTGCATAAAAATACCCAAAAATTCAATAACTTATATAATGTCTTGTACATAAGAAGACAGTGAGAGGTGATTCATGTGGCAAAATTTGATACTGAATCTCGTAAGAAGATATAAGGAGTCAGATCTCCAAAAACTTGAAGAGTGAAGGAGGTAGGCTTAAGGTGCATATTAAAGGAGATAGAGAGGCTTGAAGAAATTGCAAAAACTTGTGCCCAGGCCCTGACTTCCAACCAAATAAAATTGGGAAAGCTCGAGAAGCCACAGTTATGAGCACAGATACCTCAGAGGATTGAGAAGCTTGAAAATATCGTTGAGAGAGGGAGGGGAAATGCCATGGAGGTGCTGCTTGACCAGGATCCAATGTAGGTCAGCGAGCACAGGGATGATGAATGAATGGGACTTGATGAGAGGATGTGGGCAATAAAGTTTTAGATGATTTCAAGTTTATGCAGAGTAGAATAAGAAAGATCAGTAGTAAGTTGAAATTGTAAATCTACAGGTAACAAAGGTATGGGTTAGGGTGTGAATGATGAAAACTTCTTATTTATCGTAGACCATAGAATCTCTACAGTGTGGAAACAGGCCCTTCGGCCCAACAAGTCCATACTGCCCCTCGGAGCATCCCACCCAGACCCACACCTTCATAACCCACCTACCCCAATGTACACATCCCTGAACACAATGGCAATTTAGCATAGCCAATCCACCTAGCCTGCACATCTTTGGACTGTGGGAGGAAACTGGAGCTTGTCTGTTTTCTTTTTTATGGCAAAAGCCGCAGCCATTTTCCTCACATGTTCATTTGGTATCACGTGGTTACGAGTGCTATAACACAGCAAAAGACTACTGCAGATAGTTGGAGACATCCTCTGGAAGAGATGGTGATAGTGCCGATGATATAACTCGCTGGGGGATGGGAGGACCAGTGGAGCAAATAACAATATAATTCAGAAAATAAACTGATAGTGTTGGAAATGCTGAGCCCTAAAGCGACAACAATAGTGAGAGAAAATACTTTTCAGAACCTGTTACTCTTGTTCAGAGGCTATTTGCAACTTGGACTTTCCTTTAAGGGAAAGTACCTAGAGGTGGATTCCAGCTTCCCCTCTGACTCATCTGGGTTAAGGAGACGAGCAGCTGAATTGTAAAGAGCTGGGGTCTGGGCTGAGCATTATATGAGACACAAAATATGTCTGGGTGACTGAGAATCAGCAGTAAAGGGAGATGGTGAAGAGGGATCTAGCTTGCATTCATAATCTGCCTGGAAATATAAATGACCGTCCCTTTTTGAATGCATATTAATTTCTTTCCCCCATCCTTCCCTGACACAACTATGCATGTAATTATAAGGGGAAGCAATGGTGTAATGGTATTGCTAATCCAGAGACCCAGATTGTGGTGTTCCTGATTCAAATCTCACCATAGCAGATGGTATATTTTGGATTTAACAATATCTGGAATTGAAAGTCTAAAGATAACCATGCAGCCATTGTCAATTATTATTAAAGCCCATTTTTTAAAATTCATTCACGGGATGAGGGCGTGGCTGGCTAGGCCAGCATTT